GCAAGTTGAAACTGGCTATTTCTTTTTGTCTAGCATGAAATCTTATCAAACGTGTTTTTTGATTATTCAAATGTAGGGAATTTTCCTTGAACCAGGTGTTTAATTTTTGCAGGATTAAGTTACCTTTGGTTTGTAGATTTTGATCTATTTTATCTGATATAACCAGTGATGTGTCATCTGCATATAGGTTAAAATGAGCATATGTAGAGATGGATTCCATATTATTTACATATAATAAAAAAAGTATAGGGGGCCAACACTCATCCCTACATTAACATCCACATAATTGGATGTATATAAACGTTCTCACATTATTACCATTGATGATACTGACATATTGCTTCCGTGTTGAGGCAAACGTTTTCAGCCAGTTAAGTGCATTTCCTTGTATGCCAATATTATGGAGTTTTATGTAAATAAAGTATTCATGCATTAATTTCATAATCCCAAATTTCAATATTTTGGCTTGACCAGTTCAAAAAATAAAAGGGGGGGGGGCATTAAAGAAATGCACTGTATAATGCAGTCAGCCTTTACAATGCGCTGTTGTCAGCTATTACACAAACTAAAACAGACTAGTTATTCTACAGGAGCATTAAAAAATTTACTAGACAAATGTTACTACAATTTCGAAGAATTCCTGAATGATTGCAATTGTTAAATGTCTCTATATTGTGAGATTTATACATGTATGTNCTCTAGGACAGGACGGGTACTTCTGGGACCACCCTCGTATTTTGCTCATTCTAAACTTCTCTGATCTCTTGAAAAAGGATATGTTCTGTGTGTTCTATAAAACGAGTTTTTAAAGCTCGTTCGGTCTGACCAGCACACGTTTAGTCATAGTATCATAGCTTATCTCACGCATCGTCTTCTCTATCGGGTTGTCCAACACTTGTTGAAGTTGAAAAGCAGTTTTGAAAGCTACCTTCATCTAGACGACAGAATACAATTAAAAAGGTTGATTATGCACTGAAATTTTCAGCGGTAAATACTGAAATAAAATACTGAATGAAAAAAGCCAGTGACGGAGGTCTTCACATTAGAGGAATCCTCACAGAATTACTCCCTTGCTATTATAATCCTCATAAGTTGAAAGAAGTGGTTGTACCGCCAGTGCCGGTTCATCCGCTCGATCCCTTGTAACACCCCGCGGCGACCGTGATAATGCATTACAATTATTTGTGTTTCTATCAATGATTGCGGAATGAGTTATTTACGAATGATTTTTTTTCCAGTACGCTAATCAAAGAGTGCCAACAGCCGCGTCTCCGTCAAATGCTAGTAGCTCAAGTAGTCACAACGGAAGCCAGAACGGCAACATTTCCTCCTCTCACAGCAACAACATGCCCAACAACACGAATTCCTCATGTAACAATTCCACCGCTGGATCGGAACAACTTTCCAAAACAAACCTCTACATCCGGGGGCTCAGTCCGGGCACTACAGATAAGGATTTAGTCGCGATGTGCCAGCAGTAAGTATTTTTTGTTTTTTTTTTTCACTTCTTGAAGTAACAGGCATTTATGTCGAGTTCATGAAAGAAATCATATAGGCTGTGAATGACAAGTGACAACAGCACAAAACGTGCTGTTAATCAACTACGTCACTTCAATGTGTGTTGCATACTCTTTGGTCATTTACATTTATAATCACATGTAAATCTTTACACGTGTCATAATTAGAGAGAACAACATCTCGGCTGGTAGAGAGTGTTTGTAGTACCAAAAGTTTCGTTTCCTGTGGCGACAGACATCTTCAGTGGTATATTCTGGATTTTGTTCTCTCCGATCCCGATTCTGACCGTGAAAGCCTATATTACATGTGTCATCAATGTATGCATCCAAGTCAACAAATTGAATAAAACTAAACTAACTAGCTGATCTAACTGAACAAATTAACCTGTCAATTAGGAATTGCTTTTATTTTTTAAACTAGCTTGAAAGTAATTTCAGGTTATGTTTCTGGGTCAATTTGATGAAATTTGTCAGTACCTTTTCATTTCTGAAAATAACAGTTGGGCTGAAAAGTTCATAGACTAACATAAAAAAATTTAATTAAATTTGTTTGTATTGAGGGCGATAGATACAACGATTATAGCGGTCATACATTTTTGATGGAATAGAATAGAATAGGCATTATGTAAAGATTGAAAAGTAGTACTATTGTTCCGATAACTGAAATTCCTCATACTATTAAAACCAAAGAATTCAGACCAATCAACACTTTACCTCCGATTGAGAAGGTACTAGAAACAGCAGTTTATAATCAGCTAATTGAATATGTTGAAAAAAACGGCATTTCAATCAACAACCAATCGAGGTTTCGCCAAACGCACTCGTGAGTCATCAGTACAACTAGCTCTAAGTAAATTTGAAACTGAACCGTGTTCCTTGACCTCAAAAGAGCAATTGAGATGGAATAGAGAGCACAATGTGCAATTGGTTATCTAATTATTTGACTAACAGAAAACAACGGGTAAGAGTGAAAGACGTATTCTCTTGTGAAATTGACAACGATGTTGGAGTTCCTCAGGGTAGTGTTTTGGGTCCCCTTCTATTCATACTATATTTAAATGACATGCCATTGTTTGTCGACTGTGAATTTATGAACTTTTTTGCTGATGATACTCTATTGGCATGTAGCGATGTGAACCTTACGATGGCTATACAAAAAATGAATAATACTCTAGCAAGTGTCAACAAGTATTTAAAAATTAATAAACTCAAGCTGAATGTGATGAAAACTAAAGCGATGATAATCACCACCAAGTTTAAATACAGCCAAATAGACTCTAAAACTATTAATCTCAACATTGATGATGACAAAATTGAAATAGTGAATTCAACTAAATATCTGGGATTCCAGATAGATAACACTCTATCGTTTGATGAACATTTTGAGTATATTCATAAAAAAATTTCAAAGAAATTATTCTTTTTTTCTAGAATTGCCAATAATCTTTCAACGGAGTCAAGTATCACAGTTTACAAGTCAATTGTTCAGCCACACTTCGACTATTGTTCCTCTATCCTATATCTATTCAATCAGAATAAATTCTCTCAACTCCAAAAACTTCAGAATCGTGTTAGGATCATTTTTGAGTGCGATAGGGATACTTCTATTACTATTATGCTTAATGTTTTAAATTGGAAATCCATTTCCCAAAGACTATGATATTACACAAATATTTTTGTATACAAAATATTCATAAATTTAGGACCATCTTATTTCGAACAGTACATTGTCTTTCATCATGATATTCACCACCACTTCACTCAAAATAAAAATAATTAATAATTTATATATAAACAGAACAAAAACACTATGAATTCTTTATTTTTCAAGGGTTTTGATCGGTTCAACAAATAATCAAATGTAATTATAAAGAGCCCATCATGTTCAAAAACGAACTGAAGAAATATTTTTTCAATGTACAAATATGACATGTATTATGTATTTGTTACCTGTAGCTACAATTTTCTTTCTTGAAATATTATCATGCCTATCTTATTGATCAACTTCTGAATGTCATATTTTCAAATCATTCCAATATGTAACAAATTTTTAACAAAAATATTAGAAATGTATGTACAGTAGGATTTTCCTAGATTGTTATTATTATTATATGTCCAACACGTCTTTTTGATATCATTAGAGCCTCAGCTATCTCGATCAACTTTACTTGGGGTCATCCAAAATTATTTTGTGAACTTTTTTGATGTTTTCGTTGGTAACAACCTCTTGGGGCTGTCCACTACCTCGTTACTCATTTCATCTCGTTTAAACTCAGCAAACCAATTCTCAACGGTTGGTTTTCCTGGTGCAAACTCCAAATAATATCTATTAAGCCAAGCCTTAGCTTCAACAGCATTTTTTTCGCCAAAAAGCAATGCTTTATTGATACGAAATTCCTTATTATCCATTTTCTTCAAACTAACTAAAGTTGCTTCACTCAAAATGTTGTATCACACAAACTAATAGTCCTATAGCTGTGAAGTTAACGAAAAATCATAGGGATTTATTACTAGTAGCGCCAGCTATGTGTTAGCCAACGAATTTTTCAGCCCATCTAGTACATTATGTTTTATATTTCACATTCTATCTCCAATATCTTACAAATTGAATATTCTATCAATTCAAATATTTTCTCATGCGGCATTAAATTATGAAATGAGTTTATTAGTTGTGGAAACAACTATTAATGTTGTATTAAAAAATGAAAAACAATATAAAACTTTCAAATTGCAGTGATTATAACTGCACTGAGTGCAAGCTGAAATCCAAACATGATGTCACAAGTTTGTTTGAAGGTGATTGACAATGTTTCATGATGAATTTCACTGGTTCGGACTTCCATTTTCTACTATATAAAATGATTTGAAATCCCTGAAACAACTAAAAAAGAATAATTGAAAATGAATAGCTGAAAATAACAATTATATTAAGCAAAATAAACCTGAAATGAAATAATAGTGAAATAAACTACAAGTAAAAATATAACAATTGAATAAATAAAAATAAAGGAATGAAAAAAGAAAATAAAAAGTGTAGAGATTCCAAGTCACGTTAGTTCACGACGTTTCGATTGTTAGTATCTACAATCGTCTTCGGGTGATGAC